ATGGACATTTGAAACTTGCTTCGGATGCTGGATCTGACCTGCATTCTTCAAACGAGTGACCAGGTTCAAGTATTTGGAAAATGTCAATCCTCAATGAACTTTAAAACCTATTTAAACAGAATTTGCTTGAATATTGTTGTCAGGATAAATACTAACTGTTAAGGAAATATGATGTGAGATTTGCATTACTTAAACTGATAACATTCGTCGAGGTGAGCTTCATAATCTTTGATTATCTATGCTTTTAAATGAAGTTTCATACTTCATGTGAAATGAGAGTGTCTCCCCTATGATGTGTCTGTTTTCTCTTTATAAGAGCAGAAGAAATTTGAGGCTGACCAGGATCCTGAAGTGAGGAGCAGTCCCTTTCCCATTTAACAGCATTCATGAGCAGAAAATGGGGTAAGATTCATACTTGACCTCTTTGTACCTTTTCCCAGTATTTTGGCTTTCCAATTGATGTTGGCTTTGTCAGGCTTTGACCTATTGATTTTGAATTGACAGGAAGCAGAAATGCTGAGACAGTTCAGAAGAAACATCACCAGAAGCCACAGCAACAGCAAAGGAAGCTTATATGGAAGTATTTTTGATTTTCTCCCTTCTTTCCCCTACCCCCTGGCCCCTGCTGACTCTAACATAACTAACCATCCCCTTCCCTTTCCCCCTCATTCGTCTTCCTGAATTCACTGTCATTGTTTTCTGATTTTTCAACGAATTGTGTTGTACTGATTTTATTCACTTGAATTTTAGTGATTTGTTGCATTGTTTTGAAGTTTTACTAACATTGTGCCAGTTTTATACTTTCAGGGACTGGGAAGAGGAACAACGATGGAGGAGCAATGTCGACCAACAGAGGAAGACGAGATGACGAGTCCATTTCCCATCTCTATACAGCAGCCAACATGGCCCAAAGTGGTAAGTAACTTTTCGTGATTTGTTGCATTCTTTTGAAGTTTTACTAACATTGTGCCAGTTTTATACTTACAGGGACTGGAAAGAGGAACAACGATGGAGGAGCAGGGTCGACCAACAGAGGAAGACGAGATGACGCATCCATTTCCCATCTCTATACAGCAGCCAACATGGCCCAAAGTGGTAAGTAACTTTTCGTGATTTGTTGCATTCTTTTGAAGTTTTACTAACATTGTGCCAGTTTTATACTTTCAGGGACTGGGAAGAGGAACAACGATGGAGGAGCAGGGTCGACCAACAGAGGAAGACGAGATGACGAGTCCATTTCCCATCTCTATACAGCAGCCAACATGGCCCAAAGTGGTAAGTAACTTTTCGTGATTTGTTGCATTCTTTTGAAGTTTTACTAACATTGTGCCAGTTTTATACTTTCAGGGACTGGGAAGAGGAACAACGATGGAGGAGCAAGGTCGACCAACAGAGGAAGACGAGATGACGAGTCCATTTCCCATCTCTATACAGCAGCCAACATGGCCCAAAGTGGTAAGTAACTTTTCGTGATTTGTTGCATTCTTTTGAAGTTTTACTAACATTGTGCCAGTTTTATACTTTCAGGGACTGGGAAGAGGAACAACGATGGAGGAGCAGGGTCGACCAACAGAGGAAGACGAGATGACGAGTCCATTTCCCATCTCTATACAGCAGCCAACATGGCCCAAAGTGGTAAGTAACTTTTCGTGATTTGTTGCATTCTTTTGAAGTTTTACTAACATTGTGCCAGTTTTATACTTTCAGGGACTGGGAAGAGGAACAACGATGGAGGAGCAAGGTCGACCAACAGAGGAAGACGAGATGACGAGTCCATTTCCCATCTCTATACAGCAGCCAACATGGCCCAAAGTGGTAAGTAACTTTTCGTGATTTGTTGCATTCTTTTGAAGTTTTACTAACATTGTGCCAGTTTTATACTTTCAGGGACTGGGAAGAGGAACAACGATGGAGGAGCAAGGTCGACCAACAGAGGAAGACGAGATGACGAGTCCATTTCCCATCTCTATACAGCAGCCAACATGGCCCAAAGTGGTAAGTAACTTTTCGTGATTTGTTGCATTCTTTTGAAGTTTTACTAACATTGTGCCAGTTTTATACTTTCAGGGACTGGGAAGAGGAACAACGATGGAGGAGCAGGGTCGACCAACAGAGGAAGACGAGATGACGAGTCCATTTCCCATCTCTATACAGCAGCCAACATGGCCCAAAGTGGTAAGTAACTTTTCGTGATTTGTTGCATTCTTTTGAAGTTTTACTAACATTGTGCCAGTTTTATACTTTCAGGGATTAATAAGAGGAACAACGATGGAGGAGCAAGGTCGACCAACAGAGGAAGACGAGATGACGAGTCCATTTCCCATCTCTATACAGCAGCCAACATGGCCCAAAGTGGTAAGTAACTTTTCGTGATTTGTTGCATTCTTTTGAAGTTTTACTAACATTGTGCCAGTTTTATACTTTCAGGGATTCGGAGAGGAACAACGATGGAGGAGCGGGGTCGACCAACAGAGGAAGACGAGATGACGAGTCCATTTCCCATCTCTATACAGCAGCCAACATGGCCCAAAGTGGTAAGTAACTTTTCGTGATTTGTTGCATTCTTTTGAAGTTTTACTAACATTGTGCCAGTTTTATACTTTCAGGGACTGGGAAGAGGAACAACGATGGAGGAGCAGGGTCGACCAACAGAGGAAGACGAGATGACGAGTCCATTTCCCATCTCTATACAGCAGCCAACATGGCCCAAAGTGGTAAGTAACTTTTCGTGATTTGTTGCATTCTTTTGAAGTTTTACTAACATTGTGCCAGTTTTATACTTTCAGGGACTGGGAAGAGGAACAACGATGGAGGAGCAAGGTCGACCAACAGAGGAAGACGAGATGACGAGTCCATTTCCCATCTCTATACAGCAGCCAACATGGCCCAAAGTGGTAAGTAACTTTTCGTGATTTGTTGCATTCTTTTGAAGTTTTACTAACATTGTGCCAGTTTTATACTTTCAGGGACTGGGAAGAGGAACAACGATGGAGGAGCAGGGTCGACCAACAGAGGAAGACGAGATGACGAGTCCATTTCCCATCTCTATACAGCAGCCAACATGGCCCAAAGTGGTAAGTAACTTTTCGTGATTTGTTGCATTCTTTTGAAGTTTTACTAACATTGTGCCAGTTTTATACTTTCAGGGACTGGGAAGAGGAACAACGATGGAGGAGCAGGGTCGACCAACAGAGGAAGACGAGATGACGAGTCCATTTCCCATCTCTATACAGCAGCCAACATGGCCCAAAGTGGTAAGTAACTTTTCGTGATTTGTTGCATTCTTTTGAAGTTTTACTAACATTGTGCCAGTTTTATACTTTCAGGGACTGGGAAGAGGAACAACGATGGAGGAGCAGGGTCGACCAACAGAGGAAGACGAGATGACGAGTCCATTTCCCATCTCTATACAGCAGCCAACATGGCCCAAAGTGGTAAGTAACTTTTCGTGATTTGTTGCATTCTTTTGAAGTTTTACTAACATTGTGCCAGTTTTATACTTTCAGGGACTGGGAAGAGGAACAACGATGGAGGAGCAGGGTCGACCAACAGAGGAAGACGAGATGACGAGTCCATTTCCCATCTCTATACAGCAGCCAACATGGCCCAAAGTGGTAAGTAACTTTTCGTGATTTGTTGCATTCTTTTGAAGTTTTACTAACATTGTGCCAGTTTTATACTTTCAGGGATTGGGAAGAGGAACAACGATGGAGGAGCAAGGTCGACCAACAGAGGAAGACGAGATGACGAGTCCATTTCCCATCTCTATACAGCAGCCAACATGGCCCAAAGTGGTAAGTAACTTTTCGTGATTTGTTGCATTCTTTTGAAGTTTTACTAACATTGTGCCAGTTTTATACTTTCAGGGACTGGGAAGAGGAACAACGATGGAGGAGCAAGGTCGACCAACAGAGGAAGACGAGATGACGAGTCCATTTCCCATCTCTATACAGCAGCCAACATGGCCCAAAGTGGTAAGTAACTTTTCGTGATTTGTTGCATTCTTTTGAAGTTTTACTAACATTGTGCCAGTTTTATACTTTCAGGGACTGGGAAGAGGAACAACGATGGAGGAGCAGGGTCGACCAACAGAGGAAGACGAGATGACGAGTCCATTTCCCATCTCTATACAGCAGCCAACATGGCCCAAAGTGGTAAGTAACTTTTCGTGATTTGTTGCATTCTTTTGAAGTTTTACTAACATTGTGCCAGTTTTATACTTTCAGGGACTGGGAAGAGGAACAACGATGGAGGAGCAAGGTCGACCAACAGAGGAAGACGAGATGACGAGTCCATTTCCCATCTCTATACAGCAGCCAACATGGCCCAAAGTGGTAAGTAACTTTTCGTGATTTGTTGCATTCTTTTGAAGTTTTACTAACATTGTGCCAGTTTTATACTTTCAGGGACTGGGAAGAGGAACAACGATGGAGGAGCAGGGTCGACCAACAGAGGAAGACGAGATGACGAGTCCATTTCCCATCTCTATACAGCAGCCAACATGGCCCAAAGTGGTAAGTAACTTTTCGTGATTTGTTGCATTCTTTTGAAGTTTTACTAACATTGTGCCAGTTTTATACTTTCAGGGACTGGGAAGAGGAACAACGATGGAGGAGCAGGGTCGACCAACAGAGGAAGACGAGATGACGAGTCCATTTCCCATCTCTATACAGCAGCCAACATGGCCCAAAGTGGTAAGTAACTTTTCGTGATTTGTTGCATTCTTTTGAAGTTTTACTAACATTGTGCCAGTTTTATACTTTCAGGGACTCGGAAGAGGAACAACGATGGAGGAGCAGGGTCGACCAACAGAGGAAGACGAGATGACGAGTCCATTTCCCATCTCTATACAGCAGCCAACATGGCCCAAAGTGGTAAGTAACTTTTCGTGATTTGTTGCATTCTTTTGAAGTTTTACTAACATTGTGCCAGTTTTATACTTTCAGGGACTGGGAAGAGGAACAACGATGGAGGAGCAAGGTCGACCAACAGAGGAAGACGAGATGACGAGTCCATTTCCCATCTCTATACAGCAGCCAACATGGCCCAAAGTGGTAAGTAACTTTTCGTGATTTGTTGCATTCTTTTGAAGTTTTACTAACATTGTGCCAGTTTTATACTTTCAGGGACTCGGAAGAGGAACAACGATGGAGGAGCAGGGTCGACCAACAGAGGAAGACGAGATGACGAGTCCATTTCCCATCTCTATACAGCAGCCAACATGGCCCAAAGTGGTAAGTAACTTTTCGTGATTTGTTGCATTCTTTTGAAGTTTTACTAACATTGTGCCAGTTTTATACTTTCAGGGACTGGGAAGAGGAACAACGATGGAGGAGCAAGGTCGACCAACAGCAAAAGACAGGATGACGAGTCCATTTCCCATCTCTATGCAGCAACCAATATGGCTCAAGGTTGTAAGTAACAAATTGATTATTTAAATGAAGTTTGTCATTTGTTAGGGAATGTGAGTGATTCTCCTTTGATGTGTTTGTTTTCTCTTTTTAAGCAGAAGAAATTTGAGGCTGACCAGGATCCTGAAGTGAAGAGCAGTCCCTCTCCCATTTAACAGCGTTCATGAGCAGAAAGTGCGGTAAGATTCATACTTGACCTCTGAGCACCTTTTCCCAATATTATGGCTTTCCAATTGATGTTGGCTTTTTCAGGCTTTGACCTCTTGAGTTTGAATTGACAGGAAGCAGAGATAGCCACCTCTGAAGGTCAGTCTGGAGTGTTTTCTGCTGCATTCAGAAAGTATGGGGTGTATAGTAGTTGTAAGTAGCGTTACAAAGGTGTTTCTTAGTCTTAGGTTTAGTTTGTATAGTATTTCCGGTAGGTGCAGTTGTGTTGTAGTTTGAGTTAGTAAGTAGGCTTTAGTTGATAGTTAGACAGCTTAGAGGAGTGTAGGTTATTATTGTAATTAAGGTATTTGTTAGTTAGTGCATGATTAGTGCTTGTGGTGGATAGGTTTGCATGATTAACACCCTAACAAGCAGGGTTCTCCATGAGCTGTTTTACTGTGTTGGTCCCGACACAGTAAAGATTCAAATTTTATCTGTGTGACACATTAAAAATTTTGCTGACACAGTAAGATCTGTGATAATAAAAAAAAATTGAAACATACAAATTCTCTCTATCTGTCACTTAAGGTAAGTCACTCGTCAGCTTTTTAGCGACAACAATTAAAAATTTTGCTACACATTTTTTGTCTGTTTATAAAATTTAATGTAATGATAATAAAAAAAAATTTATATTTTTAGACTAAGTTTTACACCTTCCCTCAACAAAACATACAAATTCTCTCTATCTATGAAACATAATTGCATCAAACAATTCTACCGTCTTTCAATTCTATACGATATCTAGATCACTTAATTATGCTTTCACCTTGCATAATCAATTATTTCCTAGACCCTCAATGGACTTGAAGCATGAAGGAACAAAGACAAAAAATTGGATTTCAAACTTCCATGTAACGCTTAATTGGTACTAGTAGTTGCAATTAAAGTACATTGTATTATTTTTAAAAATATATTTAAATGTCTTTTCTTTAGAGCCATGGCTCTAGAATTATGTTTGCAATGTAAATCAAACATAACACTGTACCAAAATCATTTACTTGATGTAAATAAATAGTTTTCAATTTTCAAGGAACTTTTAAAAGTATTTTACTATTCCGAAGTCTCTTTTTTTGTAATTCCTTAATTCGATCAATAAAATTGACAAAAAAATTATGACAAATTTGCTTTAAAAAATTGTAAGTAGTTCAACTTTATAGACAAGAATTTCCTCTGCATTTCACAACATGTGCTAATATGTTCGACCATACTATTTTTGTAACGAATTGGTGATTTTTTTTTTTTTAAATTGTGTGCATGTATTCTTAAGTAATTATAATGAATAGTGAGTCAGTTGCAAATTTGATCGCTAAAATACCGTGAAATTTTAGTGCTTTGCGTAAACTCTGCAACACAGTAAAATTTCAAACAATGGAGAACCCTGAACAAGTAACAAGCTACTAAAACTACTAACGTCTGCTAAATGTTGTGTGACGCGTCTAGTGTGTTGGTGTTAGTGTCTGTGTGCTTGTCACCTCTCGCTTTCAGCCATCACCGCTGGCTAGCAGCAATGCGAAAAGGGGGAAGAAATTCTAATGACTTCCCCTGCCAGTACATAGCCTCTCCACAACAAGTCCTATGCGATGCCTCCACGTGGAAGCAGACGGATACTGGGTATCATTTTGTCCCAGGCTAAGTTCGCAAGGACGCACGGGAAGATGAGTCTCAAAAGCATTGGTAAACATCTCATATAGGATCTCTCCTGATCACAAACCCAATTTAGTAGTAGAATCAATTGATATAAGTGCTGGTTTTTAAAAGAAGTGAACCTTTGTTCATTTTATGTCTTTGTCATCTTTTTAGCTCACCTGAGCCAAAGGCTAAAGTGAGCTTTTCTGATCACATTTTGTCCGTCGTCTGTCCGTCCGTCCATCTGTAAACTTTTCACATTTTCGACTTCTTCTCAAGAACCACTGGGCCAATTTTGACCAAACTTGGTACCAAGCATTCTTGAGTGAAGGGGAATTTAAATTGTTAAAATGAAGGGCCAAGTCCCCTCACAAGGGGAGATAATCAAGAAAAGACAAAACTAGGGTGGGGTCATTAAAAAATCTTCTCAAGAACCACTGGGCCAGAAAAGCTGAAACTTCTGTGGAAGCATCCTGGGGTAGTGTAGATTCTAAATTGTTCAAATCATGACCCCCGGCCGTTGGGCGGGGCCACAATGGGGAATCAAATTTTTACATAGAAATATATAGGAAAAATCTTTGAAAATCTTCTGCTCAAAAACCACTGTGCCAGAAAAGCTGAAACTTGTGTGGAAGCATCCTGGGGTAGTGTAGATTCTAAATTGATCAAATCATGACCACCTGGGGTAGGGTGGGGCCACAATGGGGAATCAGAGTTTTACATAGAAATATATAGGAAAAATCTTTGAAAATCTTCTTCTTAAGAACCACTGGGCCAGAAAAGCTGAAACTTATGTGGAAGCATCCTGGGGTAGTGTAGATTTCAAATTGTCTAAATTTTGATCAGTGGGGTAGGGTGGGGTCACAATATGTGTTACAAGGGGGAAATCTGGTAAAGAACAGAATGGTCAAAGCTTCTCAGGTGAGCGATGTGGCCCATGGGCCTCTTGTTTGTAAAATTTCACATTTTCATCTTTGGTCAAATTCAACGAAACTTGGCAAAGAGTATCCTTGGATAAATGCCATTATGGGATTTAAGTTTATTCAAATGAAGGCCCACTCCCTCTTCAAATGGAAGATTACTACAAATAAGAGAAAAATTAAGGACATCTTTTAAAAATCTTCTTTTCAAGAACCACTGAGACAGGAAAGAGACACTTATGTGGCATCATCCTCAGGTAGTGTAGATTCAAAATTAGTCAAATCAAGACCCCATGTTGGTGTCAGAATAGGGGATCAAAAATATATATAATACTATAGATTCCTTATTTTTCGTGAGTAATTATCACGAATAGGCTTTTCACCGTCAAATCACAAGAATAATAATTTGCAAATGCATGATTGGTTATAAGAGATTTTACATAGATTTCAGCGCCATAAAAATAAAGGCGAGTAATTTAATTTTGTGTGTGGTGCTTCTCACGAAATTACGCGAAAATTAATTCCACGCACATATTTAGGAATCTACAGTATGTAGGGATATACTTTTTTTTTCTCAAGCCACAATTAGTTATATTGATAGCAAATCATCCTTTTTGGTAGTGAAGATTTCATTTTGTTCAAATCATGTCTACCGGGAAAAGGTTTGGGCCACATTGGACAATCAAAGTTTTACATTGGATTATATTGGAAATATTTTTAGAAATCTTCTCAGAAACAAATATGTCATGACTGGTGATATGTATACGGTAGCATCTTCATGTAGTGTAGATTTAAGTTTGTTCAAATCATGACTCCCAGGTGTAGGGCAGGGCCCCATTGGATGATCAAAATGGACAGGGGAATACTGTAAATCACTTTTTATTTTCACATTATTACGCGAGACGGTATGGTCGCGAAAATTTCATTCTCGCGTATAATATAATTCCTTAAGATTATATAGAGCAATGACCACAATTTTGAAAATTTTGTCTCGCTAATGAAGAGTCATTGACTATCTCACGAAAATAAGGTGTCGCGAAAATTAAGTGATTTACAGTATATAGGAAACGTCTTCTCAATAATACCAAAGCCATATATAGTCATATTGATATGGAAGCATCCTTAGGTAGTGTAGATTCAAATTTGTCCAAATCTTGATTCCAGGGGGCAGGGAGGGGCATCAATGGGGATAAAATTTTAACAAAGGAATATATAGGAAAAAATTTTATGTTCAAGAACAGCTAAGCCATTGTTATTGATATAAAAATGTCTCCAGGTAGTTATTCAAGCCCCGGCCCTTCTCCTCTTCCTAAATTTTATACTTTTCAATACTGGACTAATTTGTCATTTACTAGCCAATATGCTTAGGTGAGCATATTGCCCATTGGCCACTAGTTTATTTTAGAAATCTTCTCACTTGGTATGAAGTGCAAGTGATCCCCTTTTGGTGTCTGTTAATTTTTATCTTTTTAAGAGGAATACTTTTAAGGATACACCAAAGGTTTATTTCATGATTTTTAACAATTTTGAGATTTTATTTGTTTATAAAAGAATGAAGTCACGGCTATATAATGCATTTAAAATTTTTGAAAAATGTGGTTTAGTTTTCTTATAATTTGACAATATTGAAACATAAACACTAACACATGTGAAAGTGCCGTTATTGAAGCTTCTGATTTGGTCTGCGGCTACTTGCTGATAAAAGGAGCAATAAATCACTGTGACCACTTGGGGAATTGGGGGTCAATTAATCCGCAGTTAATGCTGCCTGTATAAAGATTAGCATCAGTGGGAGATTGTTAGCACATCAGGAAATTTTCTTTAACAAGACACCATGTATAATTTTCAAAGTAATGCTGCAATTGCAACAATACCAAGTCCTAATGAATTATAATATTAATATCTGCAGTTAATGTGGCCCGCATAAAGATTAAAGTAATTAAGAAATCATTATTTTCTTTAACAAGACACCGTGTATAATTTTCAAAGAAAAGCTGAAAATTGATACAGGATTAATTTCTTATGAATTGTAAGGGCTCATCTGTATGATATCATTCTTGAAAAATATTTCACTCTATCAACATTACTTTCGTGTACATAATGCCGAAAAATAAAAAACGCAAGAGACCCATGCCTGATGGTGCCAAACATCATTTAAAAGCGTCTATGAAAGGATCTTGGTATAATCAAGAACACAGACAGGATCAGCAAGGAACAAGTGTTTCATCCAGAAAAATCCCCACGGAATCTGAACAATTGCAAGAGGAAAACAAAGGCAGCATCATTGTGGACTTAGATATTTTGAACTCTCAAATAAGTGAGAATACATGTTGTTCAAAATGTTACGGGAAAATGAGCCTTTCTGCAATTCCAAGCAAGCAAAATGGACTGTGTTCAAGTCTTTTGTTGAAGTGTCAAAATGTTCAGTGTAACCACACCTCTGAATTTTTTACTTCAAAATTGTGCACAAACAGTTTTCATTCATTTGAAGTAAATAGAAGTGTTGTACTTGGAATGCGGACAATTGGCAAGGGAAGAAATGCTGCATCAAAATTTTGTGCAGCTATGAACTTACCACAACCAGTGTCAGCAACACCATACAGTGACCACACTAAGCATATTACAGAAAATGCAAAATCAGTACTTCTGCAGGAATTAGAGAATGCAGCAAAGCGTGTACATTCCCTAAAGGAAAGTGAAGATGAAAACTTGGGCCCTGAAAGTGTAGTTGACTGTGGAGTGACAATTGATGGCTCATGGCTGAATCGTGGACTTTCATCACGTCATGGATTTGTCACTGTAATATCCATTGATACAGGGGAAGTTTTGGATGTTCATTACATGTGTTCTGTGTGTCCCGAGTGCTCCAGATGGGAGGATAAGACATCTCCTGAGTACCTTGACTGGTTTCTAGGCCATGAACCTGACTGCATGTTAAACCATGACGGCAGTGCTCAGAGCATGGAAACAGAAGGGGCCTCCATTCTCTTCAATAGGTCTGTCCAGAAGTACAATCTTCGATACAATCCATTTATTGGGGATGGGGACAGTAAAGCTTTCTTACGGGTACTGAGGGACAAACCCTATGGAGACATACAGATACACTGAAAAAATGCAAAATGTGTTCGGAAAAATTGACGGTGTTCGAATTTACGAGGCGAATAGAAGCATCACCGCTGAGCAAAAAGAAAAACGGAAAATTAACCGCTATAAAAAGAGAAGGAAATTAGATGCATTCCGGCACAGTGAGGGTACCCTTTATAAATCTGGAAAATTCCATAGCAGTGCAAAATCATCCAGTTCAGGTTCTGTAAGGAAGTGTTCCAAGTGTGGCAAACCTCGTAAAGGACATTCACGTGGAAAATGTTCTTAAATTGTGTTATCCTTGTAATTATAACCAAAGCATTTTCAAATATCAACTAGTTATCCTGCTTATCCATTTTGTCAGATTGTGAAATATTGAGAGACACAAACATCATAGAGAGACTTGATTCATATTTTTTTAATTAATAATTATTTTACATTTTACTGCAGAACAGCAGAGCAGAACTCTTCCATGGAAATCTTGTAAGCTTCCTGAAATGTTACAAAACAAATGTATTTAATATTTAAATGGATGTGTAAAACCTATTAAATACAATTACTGTTGATTTTTGAATTTCTATATAAATCATATTTGAAAAACTTGCCTCTCTTATTTCTCCCTTGATGTCACCGGGACACAGAGTTCTGATGAAAGCCAGGACGGAATCTGGGTACCTGTACACGTCGGTCACAGATCCAATGTTTTTCCTCTGTGAATAAATTTTTTTGTTTACAATTTATGAAACAAAGATAATTTATTAAAAATGGTACCTGTATATATCTATATGAAACCAAATTAAAATGTTTTAAAAATATACATATTTATATACATGCCTTTAATGCGTGCGCCCAGTGACAGTAGTGTATGTACCGATTTCTGCGGTCACAAATCCCTTTTCGTTTTCTACTTTCCACTGATGTTTTTAGGCTCTCGATAAAATTAATTCCATCATACCTATAAGCAATTATTAGGTTTTTATATATGCCTTAATTTATTTAGCAGGGACAAGAAACTTTCAAGCATAATTGAATAAACTCTTCACAGTGTATATGTATGCACATGTTCTAGTATATATGCAACTATGTAAAAGGTGTAATATTTTATTATTTTGCATCTTTTCTAATTATTCCTAAATATTAAATGTACATAATATCTTAAGTAATAATCCATGCATATGTTGTTAAAATGTAGTAATTACCCAGCATCTTGGATTTCTCTTCTGAGCTGCTCTTCCATGGTTCACACTTCTTACAGATGTTATCAGCAATCAAACTAAGGGGGTTCTGATTCAGACAGGGAGACCTAACGGACCACCGATGACCATAAAAATAGGAGGCGGAGCTTAACTCATGTCATTTTGCCGGGAAATCTTTCTGAATCAGAACTCAACACCTTTTTCTTAATTAAAATCATTGAAATACAGAAAAGATCCTCCCATTTTTGTGAATATGCATAGGGAATGTGTTTAAGTGACAGGTATCCAAAGCTGGATCTCGAAGGTGCCATATATCTAAAGCTTTGGCAGATTTTGTTGTGTAATGGGTTTTTGCCCTCTACTGTAAAGTAAGATCAGACGGTTGGTGGTATTATTTCAAAGGATTCAGCTCCCTTATTTATTGACCAATTCTTCTGAAAATTGGCTTGGTTGTTCCTCAAATGTGTGTTCACAAAACCGTATCTCAAATTTTTGATATTGCGCTTAGTTTTGGAATTACTGAGGGACATGTTAAATTAGGCCACTAAATTGATGACTTTGAAGTGCAAATTGGTGTAACTTTTGAATGAGAAGATTTATCAAAAATCTGAGATACGGTTTTCAAGTTCAATCTTTAATCTACCATGAGGCAAAATAACCACTTTCAGGAATGAAATACAAAAAAGTTGATTTATGAAATATTAATGCACTAAAATTTACATAAAAATTTCAATAATTTTTTAATAAGTTAACCAATAAAGTTAAAGTTAGGATAAAAAGAAAGTATACTTAACAAGCTTTCAAATGATATATACTTTTGTTATGTTATCTTTGATAATGAAAGAATTACAGCCAACTGAAACTTTGACATTTGGAAACCTTTGGTGTATCCTTAAGGCTGAACAGGATCCTGAAGTGAGGAGGACTCCCGCTCTCATTGAACTGCATACAGCAGCAGAAAGCAGGGTAAGATTCAGATTTTACTTCTTGTATCTTTGCTTGCCTATTGAAGTTGGCTGTACCTAGCTTTAACATCTGGACCTTCAATTGACAGATTTCAGTTCCCCTTTGATTCAGAAGAGGAACAACAATGGAGGACCAAGGTAATTAATATAAGAAGAGTCTATTCCTGTCTGTATTTTGCAGGTATTATGTTTCAAAAGTGGTAAGCAACAAGCTGCTTTTTACTGAAGCTTCTCACTTGGTATGAAGTACAAGTGTTTCCCCTTTTATGTCTCTGTTTTATCTTTTTAAGCAGAAGAAAGTTAAGACTGACTAGGAATTCTAAGTGAGGAAGAGTCCCTTTCCCATTCCGCTGCAGCCATGAGGAGAATACTCGTAAGAATCAGACTTTACTTCTTTTTTACCTATGGAACTTCATCATGACCCACTTTAACAGGCAGGAGTCTTACAAGTATTTTTTATTTAATTATTTCTGACATGTATCTTTGTCCTCCCTACTCTAAAGTAACTATGCTTTCCTCTCCTTGCCCCAATATTCCACCTTATTCCTAGCTATCATAACCTTATTGTCTTTATTTGCTTTTTGATTTTCAAGCTAATAATGTTGTAATGATTATGTTCATTTGAATTTCTGTGATTATTACATTGCTTTGTATTATTGCTTATCTTCTCTCCATCAAGTATTTTCAAGGAATTTGACAAGGGAAGAGGACCAGTGCTGACCAAGTGAAGAAAAAGAAGAGTCTATTGCCAAGCTTTGTACAGCAGCCAATATCTGATTAAGGAGTGGGTAAAAAGATTTATTTTTTGCAATTTACAAATTTTCTTTATACACTTATCAAATCATAGGTCCAGGGGGATTTACCTCTGCTGCACAACAGCAAGACTGTGTTGCAATAACAATAGGGCATCCCGAGGATGTGTTGTTTCAAATTAGGTTACATCATGATCCCTTTGGACTAGGATTAATAAAAAAAATATGAATTAAGAATTTTTCTTTTGATGACAAAGTCAAGGTGACTCAGGTGAACATTTTATCACAAGGTATTTTTGTTCATGTTTTTTTTCATTATCTTTGGATTTCCTTTGTTAACAAGTAGAAGATGAGACTGATCTCAATCAGTTAACAAGAATGTGGAAAGTAAAGACTTACTACTGTCTAACCTAAACATTGATGGTTAGTCAGATCAGATGCATGTAAAGCTCTAGACCTTGCATTATGTGAATTAGAGGAGATTTTGACTCTCTCATTGCTTGGATTCTTAGTGTCTTTTTGTTAATAGGCAGACGGTTATGCTGGCATTGATCCTGTTTCCAAAAGCAGATCAACATGATTCCTCAAGACTCCAAAGAGATCAACTATGGGACCTGAAAATAAAGGTAAGACACATGTACAAGCTCTGCAAAATCCTTCTATTCTGTAAAAATATGTTAGCTATTTTTCATTTATTAAGATTTTATTAATATTTATGTTGAGTCCTTGTGATTTCTTTTTTTACAGGGCAGACTGCCATCAATTTCATGTTTCTTTGATAGCAAACAAATATGCTTCAACAACAGTGCAGAGAGTAATTTAAGGTTTGGACTGCAAGTGATGGACACACTAAATAACTCAACTCAAAGAATTCAATGGATAGTGCTGAGTACATTATTATATATCTACAAAGTGATGGGCACACTAAATAGCTTAACTGACAGAATTCAATGGACCATGCTGAGAACATTGTTATATATCTACAAAGTGATGGACACACTAAATAGCTTAACTGACAAAATTCAATGGACCGTGCTGAGTACATTGTTATCTACAAAGTGATAGACACACTAAATAGCTTAACTCACAGAATCCAATGGACAGAGTTGAGTATGTACTAATATCTACAAAGTGATGGACACAGTAAACAGATCCAGTGTACCATGCTGAGTACATAACTCATTACGGATAACTCATATGACATCCACAGCAGATCACTCAAAGTTGTGTTACTACATTATTGTACAACTTTTCATTACTACGTTATTTTTAGCTCTACTGGTCAGAGACCAGAAGAGCTTATGCGATAGTAAGGTGTTCGTCGTCCGTCCGTCCATCTGTCTGTCTGTCTGTCTGTCCGTCTGTCTGTAAACAATTTTTCAAAATGCTACTCCTCCTACAGTTTTGGTCTGATTTCAGTATAACTTGGCACACAAGTAGACTACTATAAGATACATAAAATAGTGCATCGGTTTTTGATTTCGATGAACTGTGTTGCCATGGTTACTAAAAATAGAATATTCTGTGACATTCCTTTAAAACGCTACTCCTCCTACAGTTTTGGTCTGATTTCAATATTAAATGGCACACAAGCAGACTACACTAAGGTACATAAAATAGTGCATCGGTTTTTGATTTTGATGAACTGTGTTGCCATGGTTACTAAAAATAGAATATTCTGTTAAATTCCTTTAAAATGCTACTTCTTGTACAGTTTTGGTCTGATTTCAGTATAACTTGGCACACAAGTAGACTACACTAAGATACATAAAGAAGTGCATCCGGTTTTCGATGAACGGTTTGCCATTTTTATAAAAATAGAATTTTCTGTGAAATTCCTTTAAAACGCTACTCCTTCTACAGTTTTGGTCTGATTTTCTTTTCTCATCCTTTGTTATATGTAAAAAAGTACAGTAAAGAGACTTGGTTTTTTTTTTTTTTTTGTATATATATTATATATTATATTTTTTAATTTAAAAAAGTTAAAGATTGCATTTTTAAGCAAAAATATCAAGAGAGGTAAATCAGTGCTTGTCGGAATATCTAAGCTTAAGAGAAAGGGAGGTAATTTTTTTTATTGTGAATCCTTGTCCAGAGCATATGCTTTCTCCCCTTGGTGCAATGTGGCTAATACTTCTCTCACAGAGTGCCACTGGTCAATGGATGTGTAGTGACCTTGAACAAAGTTTCTAGGCCAAGAGTCAAGGTTAAAACCCCTTTCAGCTACTTTACATTTTTATGTTCATTGCTGAAAGTGGGACCCTTTGAGATGGCCACCATCTCAATGATATCTAATTTTAGTTTGAAAATTGCTAGAAAAGATAAAGTGATCTCATTCAGTAACATTATTATTTTTTAGTGTTTTAGATTATAAATAAATATAACAATATGCAAAATCTAAATTCTTTTATATTTTCTCTCCTTTGATTTACAAAGCAGGCCTTGCAGTTTTTAGCTCATATGAGATTTTCTGAGTTGCCTTGCAGTTTTCCATTCATCTGTAAACTTTTCACATTTTCAGCTTATTCTTGATAGAGATATATTGATATATGTGCAGACGATACACATATCGATACATTTGAAAAAATATCGAAATATCGCCCCAAAAATCTGACTTTTGTTTTTCTTTGTTTATTTAACATTTGGGGCTTAGTATATGAAATAAATAAGTTAAATATAAATATAGAAATGAAATAAATAATAATTAACACCATTTGAGTAAAATGTTTTTGTTTTACAACATATAAACAACTATTTTGAATAAATTATTCTCATTTTCAAAGAAATAATTTGTTTATTTCAATGTTTTATAACCAATTCATCTGTAAACTTTTCAAATATCATACGTATCGATATAGAAAAAGTATCGTCCCAGCCCTAATTCTTGAGAACCATTGGGCCAATTTTGACCAAACTTAGTACAAAACATCCTTGGGTAGTGGGAGTTTAAATTATAAAAATAAAGTCCCCTTCCGAGGGGAAATTGTCAAGAATGTACAAAAATAGGGTGGGGTCATAAAAAAATCTTCTCAAGAACCACTGGGTCAGAAAAGCTAAAACTTCTGTGGAAGCATCCTGGGGTAGTGTTACTAGTGTAGATTCTAAATTGCTTGGATTATGACCCTGGGGATTGGGAAAGGTCAAGATAGGTATTAGGGGGAAATCTGTTTAATAACATAATGGCTAAAGTTACTCAGGTGAGTGATGTGGCCCATGGGTTTCTTGCTTATCTAATTTAGTTTTATCTTTGTATGCAACACTTTTTCCTTCTTTTAGTTAACTTGTTACTGAGGTTCTAAGTAATTTAAGTTTTTTATGAAATATTTTTCCTTGTCAAGTTCTATAAGCATGTTCTACCTCATACACAAGTAGTATATGAAGATTTTCTAGATGTTTCATATTTTTTCAATTTTTCTTGAAAAGCATAACTGATGTACATGTAATTGTAAAAACTGTGTTTGTCCCTTGTGATACATGATTAATTTATGTCAGTTTGAATTTATCATATATATTAAAATACACTATTATACAGTCTGTTTGTCATGGAATTAAACTTGTTGAGTTTTTATTCCACCTCTATAATTGAAGATTTGGGGGCATATTTTGATAAACTGTCTGTCTGTTTATGTGTCTCCAAATTTACTAATTTTTACTACCCATGGCCATTCCTTTTGAACTTTTTTTAACCTTTAAGTTAGACTTTGACCTCACTTTGGTAAAAAAAAAATGATGTGAATGATTAGTGCTAGGGCTTTCATATTTCAAATGTGTATTCCTTGTAATGGAAACTTCTCTTTTTACCCCAAACAAAGGAAGTTTTAGGGATATATAGGAATCACATTGTCTGTGAATGTAATTTTGTCTAGGCTCTAACTTTGATATATGGAAACATTGGAAGCTTATACTTGTTATAGAGCTTGCTTGTAATGACCTGACAGTGAGTCCTGATCTGACACAAGGTCATTCCTGCAAGTTCAAGGTCACTGGCCTAAAAGTATGAAATTTTTGTCTGGGTCATAACTTTGTAGAAAGAATCACTGGAAGCTCAAACCTGGTACAGGGATTGCTTATGACCCAAAAATGTGTCATGATCTTATCCAGTCATTCCATTTAGTTCAAGGTTACTAGTAGAAAAAAGGTATGACATAACTTGACTTTGTAATGGAGAGTCAGTGGAAGCTCATACTCGGTACAGATATTGCTTATGATCAAAGAATATGCCTTGACCTTTATCCAAGGTCATTTTGGCGATTTCAAGGTCACTGGTAGAAAAAAGAAAAAAAATGTCTCGGCTAAAACTTTATTTGGAAAAGAATTGGTACAGGTATTGTTTTTGAAATAAGGAAAGTTCTTATTTTAATCCAGTGTCAATGCAGCAAGTTCAAAGTTACAGGCAGAATAGTGTAAAATTATTTTTTTAAGACTTTAACTTAACAATGTAGAAATACTAGGAGCTCGTACTTGATACAAAGATTGCTCATTGGAACCTGATACAGGTACTGTTTATGAACCTAAGGAGTGTCATGACTTTAATTCGAAGTCAAATAGCAAGTGAAAGGTTGGTGGTATAAGAATTAAAAATTATGACAAGCCTTTATTATCTGATGGAGAAATATCTGTACGTATGCACGATGATTCACTTAAAGTTTACTAATGATCAAAGTATATGTGAATTTTGACTAGTCTCAGTCTTTTTGGCAAGAAATTGAAATGAAATGGCAAATTGAAAAAAAAAATTCATTTTGGACCAATCCCGATCAAAATAAAACCATAATGAATAAAATAACAATTTATTGCCTTCTTTATTGTCCCCCGCTTTAGCGAAAGCGAGGGGACATTAAATCTCATTCGTCTGTCCGTCCGTCACAAAAACTTTAACCTTGCCCATTATTTTTGATTTAGTGGAGCTATGACTTTTATATTTCACTTGTGTGTCCCTTGTGAGAAGACCTTTCTTTGGGTACCACCATATTTGACCTTTTGACCTAGACCTTGGAGTTTGACCCACTTTTACACAAAAAATCCAAACTTTTACTTTGTCTTTTGAATAGTAGAAACTAGGAATTTCATATTTCACATATGCATTTTTTGTGTCAAGGCCTTTCATTGGATACCAACAATTTTGACCTTTTAACCTTGACCTTAGAGACCTATGAAAAAACTTTTACCTTGACCATAACTTTTGAACGGAAAGGGCTAGGGCTATGGTACTTCACATATGTAATCCTTGTGAAAAGACCTTTCATTGGATACCAAGAACTTTGACCATTTGACCTTGATCATGGAGATTGACCTAATTTTCAAAAACTTTGACCATGGCCACAACTTTTGAACAGTAGATACTACATGTAGGACTTCATATTTTTTCACATATGTATTTTTTGTCGCAAGACCTTTCATTGGATACCAACAACTTTGACCTTTTGACCTTGGAGATTTCCGTACTTATGAAAAAACTTTAACCTTGACCATATCTTTTGAATGGTAGAAACTAGGACTTACATATTTCACATATGTATTTTTTGTGGCAAGGCCTTTCATTGGATACCAACCATTCTGACATTTTGACTTTGACCTTGGAGATTTCCGTACTTTTGAAAAAAAAAGTTTAACCTTGACCATAACATTTGAACGGTAAGGGCTAAGGCTTTCGTACTTCACATATGTAATCCTTATGAGAAGACCTTTCATTGGATACCAAGAACTTTGACCCTTTGACCTTGACCTTGGAGATTGACTTACTTTTCCAAAACTTTTACCTTGGCCATAACTATTGAACGGTTAAGGTTAGGGTTTTCATCCTTCACATATGTATTACTTGTGACCTTTTTAAAGAAATCAACAACTCAGATCCTTTCACCTTGGAGTTTGACCTACCTTTCAAAAATGTATCCTTGGCCATAACTTTCTTTTGAACAGGGGGTGGGATTTTGTATTTCACAATCGTATTTCTTGTCTGAAAACCCTACTTTGGGTAATATCAAATATATTTCATTTGAATTAAGAAATGTTAAATCTTTGTTATGTTGCCATACGAGGTCATCTGTGTTTCACAAACACATCTTGTTCCTTATATTGAGAAGAGATAGGACTTTCATATTTGACATGTGCATTACCTGTGACAACATATTTCCGAGCATGCTATGAATTCTTACCCCTTGACCTTGACCTTCACAAATGGCCTTATTTTTTTTTTTTTTAAATCAACTTCAGTGATAATTTCTAAATAAATGACATATGATAGGGTGTTCATATTAGACACAATATGTCATAAAAAATTTCAGTAATGAGAGAAAGTCAAGCTTAATTTCATATGATGTCTATAGTATGTGTCATAGTATTCAGGACATTATTTATTGAACAGCCCTCGTATTTATTTTCTTAATACGCAAAAAAAAAAAAAAGAATCGTTTTTAAAACGTGTTCATCTAGAAAAAAAAATTACTGTGCAAATTTAGGGAAGTTATAAAACATGTGTTCAGTTTTCAATTTGAAAAGAAATTCCGCATTCAATTGTGGATGCATTAGGTAATCCAAGTAAACAAATGAGATCAAGGATGTATTACCAGAAATTCGCGCAATCTTTATTAATAATACAACAGGAAGATCATGCAACTTTCAGCTTAACGCATGTCATTTTTGTTCCAAATAGGTTAAAGTTAACACTGCATTCTATATAAATTCATCAAACTTCTTAAAATTCATACTTAATAACTCGACTTCTGAAGATTATGATTATTGATGTATTAGTTTTCAAGAAATGACCGAGTTAGACTTCAAAACGGACTCGAAGGACAATGGAGAAGATTCCCTTCGTTGTGACTTATGTGAGACAGAAAAAGGACAGCTGTTTTGTGTTTTTTGCCAAGTCAATCTTTGTACACGGTGTATAGGAGCCCACATGTTGGATGACCCTTTGAAGCATAAGATCGTACTAATCAGTCAACGCAGATCGGTTCCATCTTTTCCAAAATGCGAAATACACGAAAACACGTGTTGTGAGTTTCATTGCAATGAATGTGAGATCTATATATGTTCACTTTGTATTTCGTCTGAAATTCACAAAGGGCACGTGTTCTCCAGTCTTCATGAAATATATTCCGCACGAAGGCAGAAGATACAAGAAGATGTTGATAAAATCGAAAATGAATTTTCTCCGGCATATGAAGCTATTATTGCTGATTTGGAAGCTGGAGTCAACAATGCAGATGGTGGGTTCTTGAAATTGACTGAAGCAATTTCAAAACATGGGGAAAACTGGCACAAAGTATTAGACATCATAATAGCAGACATTAAACTTGAAGTTGATCGTTTGAAAAAGGAACACGTCAAGAAACTCAAAGAACTCGTCACTGAATTCAAGCATGCCCATTCTGAACTTCAGCAAATAAAGCTCGAATGCTCGGAAATTCTTTGCTCTAGTGATGTACCATTAACCTTGATCTACAGACCAGCAAATGAAGACCTGATGAAACCACCAAGAAGAGTTCAAGTGTCAATGCCAATATTTAAACAAAAGGAAATAGATTGCACACAGCTTAGAATCTTGTTTGGATCCCTTTTACCATTTCCCATTACAAAACAGGAAGGGACTTTTAATCGCAAAGCGACTGCATCACCTCCAGGGGACATAGAACTCTTCAATCCTAGACTTATCACTACGTTAGACACTGGGTTGGAAACCCTTTACAAAGTTACCTGTAATTGTGATGAAGAAATCTGGGCAAGTGGAGAAGACAGTAAAATAAAATGTTTTGAGGGTCAAGGATCAACGATCAATGAAATTGAAACAACATCAGAGGACTGGCCTTTTGACATAGCAATGACAAATAATGGCGATTTAGTTTATATAGACGGCGCAAGGAAAACTATTGAGTTGATTAAGAATGGAGAAAGAAAAAGATTGGTCACGCTACTGGAATGGAATCCTGTTGCTATTTGCGTCACTTCCTGTGACGAACTCTTAGCTACCATGTTCAGTGACGATAAAACACAGTCCAAAGTTGTCCGATACTCTGGCTCGATCCAAAAACAAACAATCATGTTTGACAACGAGGGAGAACATCTACTTTCAGGAAATGATAAAATTAAATACATATCAGAAAACGGGAACTTGGATATCTGTGTTGCAGACTTCGAAGTTTCTGCAGTTGTGGTAGTCAAAGAGTCGGGGGAGTTTCGGTTTAGATACAAAGGTTACCTATTCGCTGCCAAGGAAAGCCCTTTCAAACCCTGTGGTATCGCAACAGATAGTGAAAACCAAATCCTAACAGCAGACTGTGCGAACCACTGCATCCATATCTTAGACCAGGATGGACAGTTCTTACAATACATAGAAGGATGTGATTTGGATCGGCCATGTGGTTTATGTATCGACAAGAATGACAACTTGCTTGTGGCTGACATGAATGGTAAACTGAAGAAAATCAAGTATAAAGATTAGATAGTGTACAATGCAACAGGGAACATCTTTAGGATTTATAAAAGTTCAAGCAGTTCTTGATAACTCTAATACATATACTGTATTAGTGTATTTAAAAAAAAGACCAAAGTGAAGATGTCTTTGAACGCTTGAATGACGTTCCTACGCTAGCCTTGGATTGGAACATTCTGTTATTAAACACTGAACGTAACATTTATGAAGAATTTTAAAAAGGATTGTGGTCTGTTCGACAGTTACGTGTACCGGCTTTTTCATATACCAATGGGTGATCTTGTCTTGTACTTACCATCTTGTGGTCAGTAAAAAACGACATCACCAGAAGGTACCCGATGATGAACTACTAGTAATAATACAATATGAATCAATAGAAAAAAAAATGAATGCATGAAAATTTCAATCAATGCTTGTGAACCTTTGCTTCAAAGATGTAATCCCTGGAACTCGTTTGCATTTAGTAGATAACATGATCGAATTTAATCATCCTTTTGAAAATAATACATGTGGTCAATACCCCCTTATCGCAAGGCGTCAACGAAGACTCGAATACGGATTGTTCGGAACTGTTACAACTATTTGAAATAACTTAAAACCATTGAAACCATCTAACAAATTTAAATAGTAATTCAGTAAGTACATACAACACAACTCGTAGTATATGAAAACAAATCATTTTGTGGAAAATTATGTAAAATCACATTTTTGACAGAGGGAGAATTCTAGCTTGTGTTGCGTGTATCATGCCCGCTTAATCTTTCAATACAGTGTTAGCGATTTCGACATCTTCACTAAATATGCCAAAATTGACAATATTTATAACCAGGTCTTCACACAATCTATTCCCATGGGTACCAATTGCGCACCATTCTTAGCTAGGAGACTTATTTTTGTATTCATATGAAGCAGAATCTATTCAAAATCTTATGAATGAGAATAAAACACTTGCTCTGGCCTTCTACTCGACATTTCAATACCGTTATACCGACAACGTATTTTCAATTAACAATATTTATTTCCATTCATACATGTATGTCGACTCTTTATATCCAAGTGTGCTTGAAAAAGAAATACTAGTACCACAAAACCTGACAAATCTGTTTGATATTCACTTTATTTTGATATTTTACTTTAGGAAAAAACGTTAATTGTAACATAACAATAAAGCTTTATGATTTAAATAACAAGATGACTTCAACTTTTCAGTAGTCAATTCTCTTATTTTTTGTAGCAATATACTCTTATCACCTACCTGTGGAGTTGTTATATCTTTCAGTTGATTCGATACTCAAGAGCCACTCGGCACACCTCGGATTATTCCTTACCTCATCGTTTGATGAAGGCGTCGG